TTAAGATAACTAGTGTAGTGTGGAGACAAAGGAAAGAGTAGAATGAAATATGAGCGATTCATCCATTGGACTGTTCTGATAGGTTTGAGGTCAACAAAGTAGAGAGAAAGTGGTAACAAGAGATAAAGGCTCAAGTGAAATTGCCTATATATTACAGACTAATCTACTACGACCTCGGTTCAAAGATGAAAGCAATTGATTCAATTTTAAAATTTAGGGATTTTCCTTTCACATTAGTCTGGGTTGGCAGAACAAGGGACTTTCCAGGCTTACGCTCCAAAAGTCAAGAGGGTATTTCTAGTCACCTCACAGGATATGCAGAGCCACATCTCCTGTCTTGTTGCCCCCTCCTAGGCAGAAGCTGGAGAGAGCCACAGCACTGAGCGAGGACACCATGCAGAAACTGCTGAACTAGTCAGAGGAGAGAGCGCATCAGGAAATGACATCAGAGGTCTCACAGAGGATGGCAACCCAACAGACAGGAACCGAGGTGTGGAGGTGAAGAGCAGACACTTAGCTACTGCCAGCATACGTGGGGACCCCGGCAGCCGAATGCTCAGAGGGCTCTTGCGTTTGGTGAGAGATATGCTAGGTGTGAATGGTGGGGTCTCAGAGCCACCACGGTGCTAACAACCCAGTGAAAGCACTGGGAACTTAGTGTGGCGCTAAGAACAAGCATGGTGACTTCAGAGAACATCCCTGAGAACCAGCCAGAGATCAGAACTTGGGAAGTGTGGGAGCATCCACTTCCTCTTGCTGTAATATTTTGCAACGGTCATAAGAGCAAATTCCAAACAGTCCAAGGCAGGAGAATAACGTGAGAGAGAAGGAAATGTACGGAGAACATGTTCCCAGCAAAGCACCAGGCGAGGAATGCAAACGTCTTTAGGAATGAAGGATTCAGAAAGGCGGCGGCCATGCTGACCCGAGGGTGGCCCAAATCCTGCTGGAGCCCAAAACTGGGGAGGGAGGACAAGACACACTCAAGACAGAATTCTTAAGGGAAAAAAGAATATTGAGAGAAAAGGCAAGAGAAACTGAAAATTGATACTCAAATGAAGACACCAAAAAAATTTTTTTTAAAGTACTCATGACCTCTCTTAATAGCAGTCTCTCCAATGTTCAGAGAAAATGTGGTTGGCGGAGCCCTGAGCAACAAAAGCTGCCCAAGGCTGAAGACTCATGAGACCATGTCACTAGAAAGCTCTCCAGAGCAGGCAGGTAGCCACATTTGCTTTATCGATAGCCCACAGAACCTCAGATCACCAACGTTCAGAACCCTGACCACTCCCCACTTAGAAGACATGGTAAGTCTCACTTGTGGGGCTTTCTTACAACAGGCCCGAGGCTACAGGTATCAATGAGAGGGGACTAAAACATGGAAAGCGAGAGGATGAAAAGAAAACGGCATTATCTCTCCTCTCTGCTGGCCTTTTGCACAGTGCAAGAGAGAAGTGTACACAGCCTAGGTGTGTCTGCCTAGAAGCCTGACTCTAGATTTAGGGAAGGAAGAGAGGCTGGGTGTGGCAAGGCAGATATGCAGGTGACAATGACCAGCAGGAGTATTTTTGAACTTTTGCAAGCAGAGGACCACTAAAAAGGGTGTACTGACTCCAGTTATCCGTCCATGTGGGGAAGGAAGTGAAAGAGCATGGGTTCTAGACTCAGAAGGACCTGGTTGCAAATGTAGGCAAGCCACTTAACTTTTCTGGGCCTATTTCCTCCTTTGCACAATGGAAATAATCACCTTACCTACTTCAAGGATTGCATGGAGGACTAAATGAAATAATGTGTGAAAAGCACTTCACACAAGGACTGGGACCAGAAAAGTAGCGAGCAAATAATGTTAAAATCTGTGTGCTCAGTGGTAGAGCCCGTGCTTAGCATGTGCAAGGCCCTGGGTTCAAACCCCAGTACCAGAGGGAGGGTGTGATGTGTGTGTGTGTGTGTGTGTGTGTGTGCGCGCGCGCGCGCACCCATGTGTTTGAGTGAGACACACCTAAAGAGCAGTCACAACTACCACTGCAAAGTTGCTTAACACAGGAAACACAACTGCAGGGGCCACCTCTACCCAACAAATATCAATGAGCAAATGTCAATGGAAAGGGTGTGCCATTCGGGTCCTTCTCACAAAGAAAGACACTGTCTTCCCTTACTCTTCCCTCGACTCCAAGAACCATCACAAATATCCACAGACCCACAGGTGCTGTTTGGAGAGGCAGCTCTGAAAGTTAAGAGAACACACACAGGACTCTCAGATTTCAGAGAAGAGACCCTGGAGCTGCCTCTGGCTCCACCCATGGGGAACTCCCAACAGCAGAGAGCTGTTTTGCTGATGGCCAGTTGCCTTGAGTTCTGGCTGCTGGGACAGTCTTCACCCTTTAACTGCAGTGTTTCTAAGAGCATAAGGACAAGGGGACCTCACCCTTGAGCTCAGCTGCCTGACCTTTATGGGCCCCAAAGCACATCACAGTTCAACACCAAAAGCCTTTTGCCCACCTATGTGGCTTTAGGAGCCCAATTCAACCTGTAGACAGCAACAAGTCACTTCAACCGACTAAAGCCAGAACAGAAGAGAGACTTTCAGAAAAGTTACAAAGCCTAAAACATTAAAAGGGAGTCAGGTGAACAGCACAGGCCTGTGATCCTAGCACAAGTTCCAGGCCAGTCTGGGCTACATAGCAAAATCCTATCTCAAAAAAAAAGAAAGAAAGAAAGAATAGAAAGGACAGGAAAGCAAGGGAGGAAGGAAGGAAAGAAAAGGTCAGAAGGGGGTAAGGAGGGAGAACTGAACAGTCCAGATACAGAACAAAAGTCCACAGGGTCTTCCAATTGTAGTCCAACTGCACCAGCCAAAGCCTCCTGGGAACCCCGGAAGGGACCGATCCCTCCCACCTCTCCCCAGCCTGTCCAATTCCTGGTCTCATAGTCAAAGGCTTCTGTTGGGCAGGGCTAGGATTCTTGTCTTCCCATAGGCCATCACCCTATAATATTTGCTCTGCTTCCTTGCTCTCCAAATCCTAACAAATTAGATCGCAGGAGTCCTCTCCAGCTCACTAGAACAGATGAAAAACTGAAAGCAAGGCAACCCAAACTGCTCCTGATGGGAAGAGAGGAGCCACAGCCCTAGTCTGTGTCAGCTAGAAAAAGGAGAGCCACAGCAGCTTTGGGAACTCGTAACATTACTTACTGCACTGTGGTCTACAACAAAATCCAATCTGAGTCATCCAGCCTCAGAACAGGGGCATCACCCACCTGTGCACCTGCCCTCTGAGAAGGACAGGAAATGGAGGAAGTGCCAGCTGAATGCGCACAACGAAAACCATGCTGCTGCTTGGGACTTCCTAGTGTTCTAGTACTTTCAGTCAACCATCAGGAGTGCTGCCCTGAGGCTTCACTGACAGAACTGATGCTTGGTACACCCACCTCCACCGGAGAGAGGACCCATAGCCTTGCTAGGCAAATTCTACCACTGAGCTACATCCACAGCCCCTCTTCTCACTCTTGCAGATTCTCTCCATAGGCAGCCACCAACCAAAACTTGCATGTCTTTAAGATTTATTTTGACCTTGGTAAAATACCAAGCTGAACACAGTTCTGCTCACTACTATGACAAGATGGGATTTGCAGGCCCAACTTCCTTACACAGAAGAGGGAAGAAGCAAGCACAAATGAAAGGGGAAAGGAAAGGTTTGTAAAAACCCTCCACCAACGAGCAGGCAATTTCCAAATTAATACCCAGGAATTACCCATCTATGAAGTGAGCAGGGCTCCCATTATCAACTAGCTAAAATGCCACAGGAGTGTCACAGACAATTTGTTAAAAAAAAGTAGGGTTCACAAAGAGAGCCAAAGAATGGGTAGGTCTAAAAGCAACAGCCAGAGAAAACTTCCATAAGCCAGTTTATAGATGCTGTTTTCTCTCCCATTTCAACAACTGCAAACAATCCATGCGCTGACATTCATTCATTCAACACACATTTACTTAGCACTTTGTAGATGCCCTGTGCTGGGCTGGCCACAGTTTGAACTACAAGCTAGACCTCTGCTAAGGCAAAGGCCATCTGCCTTCAAGTGGCACACAACAGAGAAGTCTTAACATCTACCACAATGATGTTTGGAAATCTCCACTTTGTGTACACTGGATTGTCAGCGCCTGAAGACAGGGGCTACATGTCCTATTACCCAAGCCATATCAAAAATAATACAACTGGGATGAAAATAGAAACGCCTATTCTTTCAAAACTTTTTGCTTTGCATAGCTGGAAGCTTTATCTCCAAATAACGAAGAAAGAAGGAAAATGGCAATTTTGTCAGAAATATTAAGAACATTAGCACAATTTTGGGACGTCATCCCCAAGTGCAAAAATGAGGTGCTCCCTGAAGCCATAGCTGGGTCCTGGTACAACCCTCCACCCCGTTTATGCTGCTCTGAAAAGTCCTTTGGAGTCCTAAAGAAAGGGGACACCGACGGGGCAATTAGAAGCGGAACGTCTGCTCATCTTGAAGGAAGGAAACGTTTACTGCACAAGGCTTGGGGGCAGGGCCGGCCGAGGACAGGAGATGCGCAAGGGTGCTCCGGGCCCAGCCCTCCTGCCCTGGACATGCTAGGACACTTCTCCTTCCTGTACGGCCTGGGCTCCTTTCCCCCTCCCTTTGCCTTTCTTTTCTCTTTTCTCTCTTTTAATTTTGATGAAATAGTCTGCAGAGCTGGAGCAGAAAAGGGAACTATGTAAGGTGAGGAAGAAGTTGGTGAGAAAGAGAAAGACAGCTCCCCTCCAGGGAATGACCTAACCTGGCACCCAGCCTGCACTTTAGGGCACTTTCCCACCAAGTCACCCCCCCTTACCAGGAATTCCAGAAGCCCGTGGCCGGACCCAGAGGAAAGGAGGGAGGGGGGGGTCTCCCCAGGGGAGCATTCTAGGCCCGCCAAGTAATAAGGCAGTGGGGAAAAAGGAAAGAGGAGTCTCCACGCCCTAATCCGTGCCCAAGGGACTTGCCTGGGACGCTCTCTGCTCTCCTCCCCTACCCGCAGCCGAGGCAGTTGTTGCGGGGCCGCTGCCCCAGCGCCAGAACCCGCAGAGAAGTTTCGCCGCTGCAAACGTGAGAAAATGCAGCTCAGCAGAACACCCGCCCCCACCCTCCCCCCGGCCCCACCCCCGCAGCCCGACCCCTGGCGGTGGCGACCTTGACCACCCCGGACGGTCCTGGGGATTGGAGGAGGGGCTGCCCTGGGGCTCCCCTGGGGACTGGGAGTGGCGGCCACCTCCGCGTCGCCGTCAGCTACCGGGACCCGAGCATCCGACCCCTCCGCTCCGGCCCCGCCAAGGCTCCCCTGCACCCGGCGATCGCCTGCCCCCGCGCGCCCTACGCGCCTCTCCTCTCGCTGCCGGCGAGGGCGCCCGACTTACCCCTCGTGCAGGGGCCGGGGCTGGGTAGGGAGGTTACATCGGGGTAGGGCTCGCCTCTCCGGCCCACGGGACTGTCGCGATCGCGCTGCCGAACTCTGGGTGCGCGTCGCTCGTCGCTCTTCTCCCCCCCACCCCCCACCCCCGACCCCTCCTTCTCTCCTGTCTCTCGGCTCTTTTTTCCGGGTTAATTACGTTTTGCATTAAAGCAAAACCCAGCCCCGGATGTGAGTACAATGCTCCGCGGAGCCCGCCGGGGGAGGAGAGGGGTGCCGGGGCGCCGCGGGCTGCGCGGAGGAGGCGGGGGCGGCGCGCCGTACAGGCGCCGCCCGACCCCTAATGCAGTCGGCGGCCGCGCAGGTGGGAGCCGGGCCGCAGAACTCGCCAGACCCCGCCGCGCACGCGAGGCCCGGCCGGGGACGCGGCTGGGCAGCAGGTGTCGGCGCTGGGGCATCCTAGCAGGAGGAAGCGGGCCAGCGCGCGGGCTCAGGCTCGCTCTTTTACCCCACGTCTTCATCCTCCGGTCCGGCGGCGTTCGAATCCTAAACCCAGGGTTAGGGTCAGAGAGGTGGTCTGTAATGCGCCCTAGGAGCCCAGTGGACCCCAACAGTTTAATCGGGGTCCTAGGGATGTTTGCAGAAAGTGGAGCATTGGGAGACGGCAGGCGTGAGGTTGTCCAGGGGGACCCAAGGGAACCTCTGTGCTCTGGGGTTCCACTGGGGTACCTCGTCGGAGCCACATGGCAATCTATGGGTGTCCATCCCGTTCCGGATGAGGAAACAGAGACTCCGGGACGTGAATTGGCCCTGGATCCTCAGTTAGCAAAGGCAGGTCTGTTGGGTTCTGACGCGGCCTCCCACGTGAGGAGGTAGACAATTTAAATACAATCGAGTCAGGCAGACATCATCCGAAACCGAAATATAGTGGATTCGTTCTGGGACAGGGCACAGTGAATGACAGGCGACTTCTGGGGACTCCAATGCCAACGAAGCGAGTAACGAGTAACGTGCGATTCCAAGAGGCCTTAGGGCAGGAGACCGGGCAGGACCAGGATGCCACTCGAGGGAGGGAAGCGAGGGCCAGGTCACATCCAGAGTGTAGGGGAAAGGAGCTCGTGACAAGTCCCAGCTGAAATAGCACAGCTAGAGAAGGGGGCTCCAGGCAGGTGAGCCCACAGCACACACCCCAGAAACAGCGTGAGGAAGTCGCACATTTCCTCTTCCATTTTGATCGCTCAAGCGAAAATGGGCCACACCGCTCTCTCGGGTGTGAAAAGAGACTGCTTTAGAACATTTTGCTCTGAATAAGGAAGGAAAAAACAAACTCCCTTGAAATAAATATATCAGTGTCAATTTTTGGCGTGTGCTCCTGAAGATTTTGGGCCAAGCACTTAGGGTTCAGGCAGCCTTCGCAAACCAGATATTCCCAACTTTGAATCCCAGCCCGGCCTCTTCCTAGCTCCCTTCCCTAACCAAGCTGTTTAATGTCTCAGTGACTCAGTTTCTACATCGGGGTCAAGATCAAGCTTCAGGGTCAACATCTGCAAAGTTTAAATTACAGACCATCACAAAGGTGCTATATAATTTTTACTTAAAAGTTAAATCACCATTTTTTGTGCGAAAAGGAGAACAATTCCATTGGGGTAATCAAACTGGGCCAGTTCCAGTCTGATTCTCTGAATGAGCCTCCCAAAAGAAAGTTCCACTGGAACTGATGGTCTACGGTATGAGCAGTGAGGTGAGAGTCTCAGATTTTATAGGATGGTCCCTATTAAATCCCATAAACTGAACTCCCTGTGGGGCCTGCCTGACTCACTCAGTCTCTGAGCCACAACTATTTTCTGAGCACTACTGTATTGGATGCCTGGGAGGCAGAAAAGCCAAAGCCTCTAGTGTCCTTGGGAGGATATAAGAATGACTAGAAGGTTGAGGCAGCCCTTCTCTCCTGTACAGGCCACGGGAGTGGCACAGCCATGTTCAGGACATCAGCATTTAGAAGAGTAAGATGTGCTGTGTGGGGCCAAGTTTCTCAGGAAGGGTGTGACTTGGAATGAGTACAGTTGTGGGGACAGTTGGAAGGGGAGAGACAGGAGCTGAAGCAGGGTCATGAGTGTCCTTTGGGCTGTGCTTATATTTCTCATATTCCTCTGGGAGCCCCTATTTACTGCCACATCTGTCACTGGCCAGGACCTGGCTCCAACTACATGACAATTTCTGCACTGATGTTCACCTCCATTCCCCTGGATTTCACAGGGCTTCTTCAGAGGGCCTCCAGCACTTCCTCCAAGAGGCTCCACAGAGCAGGTGTCCACTAAGGTCAGCCTGCTGCCAGTCCTTTTGTATGTTCTCTCTCTCTCCCTCTCTCACTTTCTCTTTCCTCTCTCACACACACAAAACCATAAATGTCACCATCTTAAAGTTCATATGCAATCATATTTAGTACATTCCCAGTGTATTCCCAGTGTTGTACAGCTGTCACAACTACTTCCAGGCCATTCTCATCCCCCACACCTACTCTATGTCACACTCCATTCCTCTTTTCTCATGACCCCCAGTAACCACTAACTTGCTTTCCACCTGACCTGTGAGCTGCCTGTTTTTGATATTTCATATGAAAACATGGAGGCTTTTTTTGTCTAGCTTTTTTATACTTAATTTGGAGGGTGGTGGTACTGGGGTTTGAACTCAGGGCTTCATGCTTGCTAGACAGGCACTGTACCACTTGGGCCATGCCTCCAGCCCTTTTTGCTCTGGTTATTTTGGAGCTAGGGTCCCACTGTTTGCTCAGGCCAGCCTGGACCACGAGCCTCCTATTTCATGCTTCCTGCTGTAGCTGGGATGACAGGTGCACACCACACCCAGCTTTCTTCCATTCAGACGGTCTCTCACAAACTCTTTTTGCCCAAGCTGGCCTTGAACGTGACAAGTAGTTAGGATTGCAGACATGTGCCACTGCACCCTGCTTTATACTCACTTTTGCCATATCTTCATTCTACTACTTTAGAAACTATTGCCATTGCTTGATTTGATGCATTAATTTTTTTCAATGAAATAAAAAGCCCTGAAAATGTGACTCTTATCTGTGAGGAAAGGCATATCAAAAAGGGCTTTCTAAGGCTAGCAGAATGGCTCAAGCAGTAAGAGTGCCTGCTAGGAAGCGTGAGCCCCTGAGTTCAAACCCCAGTGTTGCAAAAAACAAAAACAAAAACAAAAAAACATTTAGGCCAGGCCCTGGTTATCCTAGCTACTCAGGAGGCAGAGAACAGGAGCACTGAAGCTCCAAGTTCAAACCCTGGTACTGAAAAAAAAAAAGGACTTTTGCATCAACTATTTCAGCCTTCTCACTGGACCAGTGTGAAATGAGGTTTAACAATTTCCTCAAAATTTTGAACTAGTTGGTGCAGAGGTGGTTCTAGGACCCAGGGTTTACTACCCCACAAAATCTTCTAATATTGGTACAGGAATTTTTCCATTAAGGTGGAGACCTCTCACCCACAAGCTAAGAAAGCCTCATATTCTACCCTAGCTATTTATTTCTGAACTTTCCACCAGTTTCAATATTTATAACTGGTTAACTAGATGACCTAATAACCTCCAGTGTTGAGCCCATGTCCCCTCCGGGGATTGTATTGTTCTCTGTCCTCAGAGATCCCTAGGATAAAGCTGGGGCTAGTTCCTTCCACTGGAGAAAGGACACTTGTAGGACAAGGTGTCATAGTCATTGGTTTCATCCTGTTCGACCCATTTAGTTTTGCATGGAGATAAATTGTTTCAAGGCCACACATTACACCTCTAGCAAGAGCTGGTCATTTTTTAAGGGGCTGTTATTCATTGTAATACCAAAGTACAATTCCACATTTCTAGAATTTCCAATTCTAGAAAGATCACTCAAACTACTAATCTGTTCAGGCTACTCATTCAACAATTATCTGAACATGTTTGTCTTTCTCTTCCCACACACATTCCACTTATTTCCAAGGCACTTAGTACTGAGTGCTTTCCACGTATTACCTCATTCAAGCCTCACAGTGACACTGAGAGCCAGCTACTATTATTTCCCCATTTTATGGTGACGAGGTGATGAAGGCATAAAGATGAAAGCTGGATACAGACCTGGGCAGCCTGATCCCAGAGCTTGCCCTCCTCCCTGTGAGCTACCCATACAGGCAATGTTGACCTTGTGATGGATTCAGAGAGACATAAAACAAAGCTCTTTTCTCTCCACAGTTTTGTATTTATCATTTTTTAGAATCTCCTTTCCATTCTACTGACCAATTCCATGTTTAAGGGTATGTCCTACCAAAAGTTTTGTGACTAGCCAGGTGGGGTGGCACAAACCTGCAATCCCAACTACTAGGGAGGAAGAGATTGATGGGATCATGATCTAAGCCAACCAAGGCAAAAAGTTAGTGAGACCCCCATCTCAAGCAACAAACCAGCTGTGGCAGTGCATGTCTGCCATCCAGCTATATGGGAAGCATAGATAGGAGGATTTGCAGTCCAAGGCCAGCCTGGGCAAAAATGTGAGTCTTTATCTGAAAAATAACTAAAGCAGAAAGGCTGGAATTATGGCTCAAGTGGTAGACCATGAGTTCAAACCCCAGTAAAAATGTGTGTCTATATAAATGCAGAGATATCTGCACACACATATATGAATGTATATCTCTGTATACATCTAGATATACACATATAATTATGCAATCTTGTTCATAATGGTGAGAATTGGAAATGATTGTCATGTCTTCAGCAAGAGATTGGACAAGTAAATTTTGGTACGTGCATACGCTCTTATACCATGCTGCTATTAAAAATGAGATTGGGCTGGGGGTGTAGCTCAATGGTAGAGCACGTATTTAGAGAGAGAGAGAGCTATATGCAAAACTCTAAATGTTTCAAGTAAACTACTTCAAAGCTGTATGTATAAAATATTCCTGTTTCTATAAGTGCATTGTTCTTGACTTACATGTCTGTACAGGTAACTGTTTATTACATGAG